AAGCATATTATATATGTACATATTATTTATATTTTTAATTTGTATTAATATACCGTTTAACATGTAATTTTTTATGTATTTTTTTACAAAATAAAAATAAAAATAATTTTAAATAAGATAGAAAAATTGAAATTTAAAATAAGATATGAATTTATTAAAATTTATAAGCATAAAATATATTTAATATAAATATTTTTTAATAAAAATCGAGTCATGCGGTTCAACTAGTGACCCACCGGTTCAACCTTTGACCCATTGACCCAGTACCTTAACCGGTTCGATGACCGATCCGATTTTTAAAACTATGCTCGTAATACTTATATTAATATATAATTATATACACCACTAAATAAAGTACTGAATCTCATTTGAAGTATTAAAATTTGTATAGCTTTTGTTTATAAATGAAACTTATAATCACCTCAGTTGCATTACCAATTTTGAACCTTGTTTAAGGACCATATAATTATAAATTATTAGTTACCAGCACACTCGAGTGGTGAATGGAATTGGTGTAAAGCTTAAGCAACGTTGAAATGAGAAATATACTATATGGTACTGGATCTATAGTCTTTTATATTTTTATTTTGTTGTATATGCTCAAATGATTGGAACTGTCGAACTGAAATATATGGCTTCAACATCACTCCAAAATTTTGTGAAGAGGAATGTGATATTGTGATCTGTCAGGAAAATTGATAAAATAAACAAATAAATAAATAAATGCATCGTCAATGAGCAGATCCATTTTTTCTAAATAAAATATTCATAGCATGGGAAACGAGGACCCCTCTCGTCTTCCTCAAATAAGAAATAAACAACCCAAAATTGACTCGTATTTTCTTATCATTATGTTAGATTTAAAGGATAAAAACGTGTATATATATATATATATTTTTTTTTTTTTTCAATTATCAAGGAGTATTAAATTTTATGGCGAGTTCCTCATCACTTGTATCAACCAAGTTGATTAAAAAAATCAATTGTACTTGATTTCTAAAAATATTTTTGCTTTACTTAATATATGAAAGTCATAATTAAATATAAACATTAGTATCTATCTATATATACAAATATAGGAGAACGTTTGTTATTAAAATGGTATTTTTAAGAGAGAATATGAATGATCAATTGACCATTAGATTAAAATAGATATTTTATTTTAATAGATTATCTTAAAATTATAATTATCATCCTCATTATTATTAATAATAGAGGTTTGTTGACAATTGGAGACCTTGGTTCTCCATGATTTTATTTTATATAAAGTTTATAATATGTATAATATTTTATTATTATACTAAATAATTTAATTATGAGTCTAATTTTATACAATCATATTTTAAGTTTTATTTATTTTTTAATAAGGATATTTTATTTTTCTTTTATAATTTTTATTTTTTAAATAGTATTCTTTTCCTTTTCATTTTAAGTGCATATGTTGCTTTGTAAATTATGAAAAATGTAAATAATTAATTATACATAATATATATTGTTGTTGTAAAAGATGATATAGTAAGTAAAAATAATTTCTCAAAGATCTCGACCTTATAGGTAAGACTATACATGTCACTCACGTGTATTAATTTCAGTTATTGAGCGTATTGATTCCTCCAATTAACTACCTCAAGGTCACTCATTGTATATGAAAGACTTCAACTTAATTGAAACCCAAAAAAAATAGAAGCTCACCTAAAATTCAGTCTAGAGCATCAAACTCCGATATTAGTTGTTGAACTTCAAGAGAACTTGTAGTAATTCTTATTCATATGGCAATCTTTTTAATAATTACAAGTTATAGCCATAAGGAGTATCTATACTATACAACATAGCAAAATTCTCCATACAAATTGAATAGCAAAGACAAATTATAACCATAAGCAATGCAACGCAGATGATGTTGACCTTTTCAACATGTTAATGGTTGGAAACTTAGAATACATACATGAGGACTTAGATTGGATCCACATTTCGATGGTTTCAAAAGAAAAAAATAAACAACATATAGAGTATAGACAAACAAGAATGATCTGATAACAAATTTAGGAAAAGCTAACATGTACACATTTAAACTTATGGCTAAATTAAAAGGTGAACACTTTCTAAACTTTGTAAGAATTATATTGTACATATCTCTAATCAATATAGGATCTCAATAATATCAATCCTATCGTCATCCATTATTATTATTTTAAACACAAGTTTCTATTCTTCCTGGGTATACACTACACTTTCAGATACAGCTGCTATCAAGGGTGATTATGAAGTTGTCATCAATCATAGACATTTAATTGGCCCCACCAAAGCAAGTGCTTCCTTAAGAGCCATCAAGAGATGCTCGGGATGATCCTCAATTGAAGCAGCTCCACCATGTTGGGATTGCATGGATCTCAATACTCTACCAACAATCTGAACAAACATGTACATAGTAAGATTTGATAAATTGGCATGTCAGAGTCACATGATGTTACTACAGACTAGAAGGGTGGAAAAAGAATGAAGAGTAAATAATTAGGCATAAATGTGTGTTACCTTTCGTGCGTAACCACCATAAGCTATGCCGCTAATTAAAGCATGTGATGAATCAGATGAGTTGATTGTTGACATGTCATCATGTAAGTATTCTGGGAATAGTTAACCAAAAAGAATGTCTAAAATGCAATGGAAAAGAAGAGTGAGTAACAAGAGAATATACAAAGTAACAAAGTGGATACATTACCAGTAATAGTTGTTTGAAAGAGTCCTTCTTTCTTCAACCCATCAATTGTGTGAGCATTAGTTCCCCCAGCCAGTTGAAGAAAACCTACCATGACATGGAGGGACTAACAAATTAACAGAATCAGGATAGATATAAAGCTTGAATTAGGTTTTCAAGGAAAAATTATTAGGCAATTAAGGACCATCAAATGTTCATGGTTCCAACCAATCTTTATCTGATACATGTATTAAGGTCTTTTAATTTATGAAGAAAAAAAATGCTTATTACATGTTATGTAGAGATTAATCCCGAAACACGTGGTCCAAAACTAGCTAATAACTTCTTATTTTCAAGGACCATAAATTGAATCATAAATACAAACCAGGAGGTCTTCCTTTTGCTTTAGCCAATTGAACAGCAAAGGCAATTGATTCCTTAGTTGCTCCTCTCCCAATGTCTCCACTCATTGGACGACCATCTAACTTGAGTTTATGTAAGACAAATATTGACTTGTTAATAGAAAGATGGAACAAAATTTGGCTTATGAAAAATTTGGGAATGTTCAAAGGCATACCTGCCATAAGTTGAAGCTTTGAAGGTTGGGTTTCATAATAGAGAACATTTTGTTCATAGAGGATATTGTTGAATCACCAACATTAGGTAAGCTAACCTGGATCATTTCAGTAGTATTTATTGAAAAGTTGCTTATACCCATTAAAAATTAGAACAGAGGCTCCACTTACTGCTATAAGCCTCAAATTTCGTACTGAATCTCCTAGAGCGCTCCAGAGTTCTTTGAACAAATTACTTTGTCTGTAGAAGGATCATAAGTCACAAGAGCAAATGGATTTAGAGAAATCAAACAAACATCATAGAAATAGCATATCTCAAATTATTGACAACTGCAGTTTGATTTATCCATAAAATTTGCCGAATCATTTCAATCCCTTCCTGTGAAAAATGAAAATAAAAAAGAAAACCCATCTATGAGGACATGATTGTGCAATGCCTCAGCAGAGAACTTGGTGAACACATTAAATGTCTATGTGAATTGAGAATTATGAAGTAATTCCTCAATTTCATCCTGTTGTGCATCAGGGGTTACTACACATACACACATGTCTCCACATTGGTGAGATATTGTCCGCTTTAGACTCAAGCCCTTACGATTTTACTTTTGGACATCACCCAAAAGGCCTCTCAACCAATGGAGACAACTATGTGCATATAAACCCATGTCCATCTTCTTGTTTGAACGATGTGAGACTTTGCTTGCATCTCAACAATCCTCCCCTCAAACAAATCCTTACCACGGAAACTATGAGTATTATCCAATAGTGGCCCACAGAGCTCACTCATGCTCAGAGTGTTTGCACCGCTGCTCAGCGGGACACGCCTCCTAACCCTCCATGTTACTGGAAAGCCTCTCTTCTACATGGACTTACCGTTAGGAAGACTTTCGACACAAGGGATCTCAAACTTGGATCCACCTGCCAACCATCATACTCGTTGAGCCGGTCACCTGATCAGACCATCAGCTCTGATACCACTTGTTGTGCATGAGGGTTACTACACATACACACCTGTCTCCACATTGGTGAGATATTGTCCGCTTTGGGTCCAAACCCTCACAGTTTTGCTTTTGAACATCACCCAAAAGGCCTCTCAACCAATAAAGACAACTATGTGTATATAAACTCATGTCCATCTTCTTACGATGTGAGACTTTGCTTGCATTCCAACACATCCCTAAAGTATTACGGTCTCCCCTAAATTATCCTCAAAGTAAGAAAATATAAGTAATCCCTCAAGTATTAGAAATCATAATAGGTTGTCCTTTAAGTATTGAGAAATTCATCAAATTCGTCCTTGAATACTAATGAAATATACCAACTCGAACTAAAATGATGGATATTCATTACTTGAGTGACTACGGATTACTTATATAATTTTATCACTTTAAAACTAAATAAGAGAAAGGGTGATAGTTGAAGACTAAATTGATGGTTTATTCATTATCCCTTTATTAAGTGATTGATAAAGTTCTGGACATATCAATCATGAGACATATTTCCAAAGGGATTACAGTTATATACTTGTATTATTTGATATAATCAATTTGATAGCTAACATTACCTCCCACTTGTATGTATCTCCATAGCATCAACATCATTTCTCTTGATGAGATCAGCAGTTGTAAAAGCATCTCTTACATATGTTACCTCTCCTGGATCAATAAAAAAAAGTATATATTGTTGAAAATCAAATAATATAATGGAGATAATAACTAAACACAATTGAACTAAATAATCTAGAGGGTTAAGAACATATAATCACAGATGAAACTGAAAAATGTCCCACTTATTTTATCGTAGGGGCAAACTGGAAGACAACGACCACAGCCATAGCAGCGTTCCGTTATGACTCCATCCTGCATGTTCAAGCCAATTAAACAACACAATTTATTTATCTTTTCAAGAAAAGATAGCTTGTATGTCTTAAAAATATCATGTAAAATCCAGTTAAAAACCTTTAGTAGTCTTGGTGTTTCAGTATTATACGAAATTCCTGAAGTAGATTTCCCTTGGAATGATATTGCATTAGCAGGGCATACATTTTCACAAGGCCTTGAACAGTCTGCTGGACAGTCCTCTGGATCAAATTCTGTTCAGAAGACATTACTTCAACATTCATTAAATGCTAGTAAGTGATATATTAACCTTCATATATATATATAATATATATATATATATATATATGTATAT